ACACCCGGGGAGGATAGCCACTTGTTACTATAGGCAGTACCCCAGGCATAGCATATGAAAACAGGCAAAGGGGCAACTAGGTCAATGCCAGTTCTGTTTCTACACTTGGTAGGGGATTCCTATTGATTCACCAGAATAGAGCAAGTGCTTTGTGTCAAAGTAGTTTGGCTCAGTTGTTGAAGGTGCCATCAGTATAAGAGACTTCCGGGTTAGCGCCACCGGCAATGGCGGATTTCCTCTGATCGGGAGGAATCCGCTCCGTGGAAATCAGGGTCTGGACCGCCACGGCGAGGCAGAGACCCATTAAAAACCACAGGCGGGAGAAGCCTGTGGACCTGGGATTCGGCTGGCACCTTTTGCGCCTCCCCTACTCACGGGGAAACCCGGTTTCGGGGATCCGGAGCGACGTGGGGTGAGCGGCGCGGTGCTGCGAATTGACTGCTCTTTTCACGGAGTGAAGCCACATTGCTGTTGCCGGAGAGCGCTGACTTTTTCCTGTGGACAATTGGACTTTAAACAAGTACCCGTGAGTAGAATGGAAAATTGGATTATTAAACTTCGTAATTTGGCACCGAAGCGGGAAGGTCTAAACAGGAAGTCTGCCTTCCGCTTTTGTAAAGTTTGAAGCAAAGACATCGCAAGCTAAAGTCTGAAAAGTTTATTGTAAAGGACTAAATTTCCATCGGTTAAAATTACTAAACCCCCCTTGGAAGCAGGAGAAGAGGGGGGAAATTTTAGATCGTTTAAGCCTGCAGGAGAGAGAGTAAAGAAAGATAAATTTCTACCGTCTCGAACCTGGGAACGGGCTGCCAAGAAGATAGACGTTTTGGGACAGTTCATTGACCGTGAATAAAATGTATGTTGACAGATAGTTAAGTGAGAGAAACATATTGATTCCAATGTTTCCTTTTGCACTTAAAAAGGAACAAAATGCTAATGATACTGAGCTCTATTTCTCCATAACATCCGAATCGGGATTGGAATGGCCATACATGCCCCAAACCAGTGCCTGGAGGCAGTAGTGAGATGGATGAGGGAAAATGAGCTGCACTTGAATCCTGGCAAGACAGAGGAATCCTGGCAAGATAGAGGCCATTAGTTCCCATATTTGATAGATTCATCAATTGCCTATCCTGGATAGAATTGCATTTGTATCCAGGGGTGCTTCTGGATCTAGTAGGTTTTCCTGCTGCATTCTTAAACCCTCTGCAATCACAACTTTACGCGCAGCAGCTTTATGCGCTTGGCTGAAATTGTTTTTTTAAGGGCAGGGTTGGGAGAGAGGGAGAAAAACATAAGGAGAGGCTGTCTGAACTTCCATGGAAGCCTCCAGAGCCTGCCTGCAGCCTTCCAAGATCCTGGAAAAGCAAGACAGAGGACTTAAGAGCTTTCCGTGGCAGGAAAAGCTGGCACCGAATAAAAGCTCTTCATCTTGCTTTCTGGGTTCTGGAAAGTGCTTGTGCGGACTTAAACCTTGAGCCTAGGTTAAGAACTTTGAGAACTTGAAGAAGAAAAGTTACTTCATCCAGGGACAGTCCACATATATATTGGCCTATCCCTACCTCTTTTTCTTAGTGGTGACTGTTCCTGCTCAGGCTGCACAGAAAAAACTCCTTGGTTCCTGCAATTCATTCCAGTTGTACAGATAAACTATAACTGATAGAATTCTACAGGATGTGGTGTTAGTGTGTGAAAACAGTCCAGATCCAATGATCCCAGGTATGTACCTCCAGATGGTGGAGATGTCAGGCACCATCCTGTAGCTGATAGCCAGGTGGAAATTCCTGGCTAATTTTGGACATTTTGGACACTGGTCAGCAAATGTTGACCCGGCTTACTAGCGAGCCTCTAGTTGTGTTTGCTACCAACCTCCACTGGTTCAGCCCCCCCCCCCACCAAAAAAAAGTTCTAGTACAGTTTGGAGAAAGCAAGAATTTCAGGGAAGGGATGTGAGCTTATTGGGCATTTTTTCTAGAAGCTTTTTCCTCAGATGAACTAAGGGAAATGGTGGATGCCTGGATCCAAGGAGAGGAACTTGTACACCTTGGCAAGGGTGCCAGACCTATCCACATATGTGGTGCCTCTTGATCTTGTAGAATGCAGGCAAGGAAATGTTTCTCTATCTTAACTAGGTGGAGAAAGAACTTGCTGTTTCAGGCACCTTTGTGGGGTGGGAATGGGGTTGGCTGTTTTCAGTGTCTTTTAAGAGGTGCTTTTTCAGGGGAAAAGTTTTGTTTGACTTGCATTACTTTACCATTTTTTTCACTCTTGTGGAGGCAGATCAAAAGTAAGCATTTCCTTAGTAGGACTACCTACCTAGCTTCTTTACAAGATGTACAGGGAAATTATAGTTTACAATGCTTAGTTTTCTTGGACTACAGAGGCAGGGAGCCTTCCATATTAAGTACAGTCATACCTCTTGTTACGTTAGGTTCAGGTTACGTTCTTTCAGGATACGTACCGCGGCAATCCGGAAGTAACAGAACAGGTTACTTCCGGGTTTTGCTACTCGCGCATGCGCAGACGCTCAAAATGATGTCACGTGCATGCGCAGAAGCGGCAAATTGCGACCTGCGCACGCCCAGACGCGGGTTGCATTCTGCTCAGGTTGTGAACAGCGCTCCGGAACGGATCCTGTTCGCAACCAGAGGTACCACTGTACTTAAATAGTTTTGCATCTTGCTGCCTTTTGTTTTTATGCAAACGGATTGAGGCATTGCTTGGGGCTAGACTAGGTTGTGGGGAATGCCATCATCCCATAACTCTCTGCTGCCCTCTGCTGATGCTTCAAGTGAATAGCATATTATCGTTTTAAAATATAATCCTGTAGCTTTTATGTTTGCCAATAGAATGATTTTGCTGAAATTAATTATGGCATCTACTTCTATAAGGTGCTTCCTCGTGTAAAGTCACTCTTAACAAAAATCTTGGCTAACATGCCAAAGTAGATGAGGCACTGACTTGGAAATCTAAAGCAAATGAAACAGTTATTTTCAGGTCGGTTGATGGTTTTTAAAATTCTGAGTGCTCTTCTGCTGCCTCTGGTGTACAGAGCAAAATTGATACCAGTCAGACTCTGTGATGCTCTGTAATTAGTATATTCCACAAGTTAAAGAAAACTACCAATGTTCCCTCTTAGCAGTGCATTGTAGTAGCTGTTAATGCATATTTTCAAAGGCAGCCTGTTCCAAAGACGAAGCTGAATTATTGTAATACTGAGATGACCCCAGAAGGCAGGCCCCACCCTTTCCTTCCTAGCAGTAAGACACCAGCAGCAACTCCTGTTGAGGAACAGTTGCCTTCTCTTGCTTCGTGGGTGAGCAGGCCCTGGACCACGCTATGAATACAGACCCTCCAAGTGTCCCTCTTTTCCAGAGACATCCCTGATTTAGAGAAGCCATCCCAGTTTCTGATTTGATCCCGGAATGTCCCGCTTTTACTTAGGATGCCCCTACTTTCATTGGAGAAATGTTGGAAGGTATGGAGTTATTCAACTCCTGAGCAGTCGGAAGGCAATCCTGTATAGGGAAGGGTTTTTTTATTGTTTAATGTTTTTAAAAAACATTTTTATACATGTTGGAAGCTGCCAAGAGTGGCTGGGGCAAACCAGTAAGATGTGTGGAGTATAAATAGTAAAATTACCCCTATAGAATGGGACATCCCTATTTTTGTTGGAGAAATGTTAGAGGGTATGTGAATAAGTGGGACAGAGCTGTTCAAAAGTATCTCTTTTGGTTAGAGTTTCTCAGTCTCTTCTCCCTTGAGCCACAGTATATCTTGGACAAAAGGCAGCGCTTTTCCTTGGATAACTGCAAATTGTACTGTTCCTGTTTCCTCTGTCCTTGACTGAACCTAGACACAGCAAAAAAGTGTTTCAGAAAAACACGTTGTAAACCTCAAAGGGGGAAATCACGTTGGCGAAAGACAGAACTCCACAGCGCCATCTGGCGTCACAGTGTTATAACACATATAAAATGTTTTTACTTTACTAATGTAGCCGAATCCCTTGTAGCTTGAAAGGACACTAATAGTGAGACCAGCATGGTTAAATCTAAGATTATTCGCTTTGGGTTTAAAGTATGAAAAATGACAGTAATCTGGGAAGGTAGCTCTGGGTGCAATGGGTCTTTTGTCAGGGGTAGGAATATGTTTTGCAGGCGACCTAACCTGAGAAGTTTAAAAGGTACTGTAAAATGTTCTAATGCAGAAAGAAGTGATGGCACACCAAAACTTTCCCCTGTGCTTTGCATTCCCTTGTAGAGAATAAGAGGAAGTATGGTTTGTATAAATATATAACTAGTGATTGTTTAAAATTACTTTTTAGCCACCCTGGGAATCATTTTTCTGAGGGTGCAGGATTTTTTAAAAAACAAAGTAGTCACAATAATGGTTAGAGTTACTGTAATTGCAATGGGTGATATCCCATGTTAGCCATACTCCGCATAGAGCCACTGGAATAAATGGACTTGAGTAGCCTAAATTCATAAATTTCAGTAGGCTTTTTCTTGAGTATTGCTGAACAATAACAACTTCATCTCGTTATTTAATTTTAATTTTATACTATAACTAGAAGCTAGAATAAAATAAGTTGTCAAATTAAGAGTTCGCTTCTCCTCCCTGGAATGTGTCAGTAGATTTGCCACATTGCCCACCTCTGATAGCTGCGTAAGTTGTGCAAATATGATTTCTTAATTTTAATAGTAATAATACTAATTTATATTTTGTACCCTACCCCCTCTGACTGGGTTGCCCCAGCCACTCGGATCAGCTTCCAGCACTACATATATAATATTCCTACAACTGACAGTAGGTATTTTGCAATGACAATTTAAAGAATATCTCTAATAAGATTGTCCTTGTTCCATGTTGACTTCTTGGACTGCTGAAAATAAATAAACATTTCCCATTGGATGCATAAAACTAAAAAAGAACACAAAGAGGGTGTGGTGGTCTTCATTTAACTTTTATTTTTATCCTCTCTCACTTTCTTTGCTGTATAGGGGCTAAAAACTCACCAGCATGATGGGGTCTGAAAACCCAAGTCCACAGAATCCCAGCTGTAAAATCATGACGTTCCGTCCAACACTAGAAGAATTCCAGGACTTTGGAAAATATATTGCTTATATCGAATCCCAGGGAGCTCACAGAGCTGGACTTGCTAAGGTGAGTTTGATCTCAGTGGTCCAGGAAGTGGTCCCAGCTGATCTTCCTATGGTCTGGGACAGTAAAGGGTTTAATTGGTAGGAGCTTGGTTTTAATTGGGATTAAAGTAAAGATCAGGGATTGTCAACCTTTTGGTCCTTCAGTTGTTAAATTCTGAGAGGGTTGTGTGTACCAGTCACAAAATGGTTGCCATTGAGACATGAGAATTCACAAAATGGCTGCCACATCTAAACAAGGGTGGGGTAACAGAACCACAAAATAGTGCAAATGTTAAAGATTTTTTTAGAAATTATTTCTTTTTACATTTCATAGAATCATAGAATCCTAGAGTTTTGGATGATAAAGGCAGGCTAGGTAAAGGTAAAGGGACCCCTGACTATTAGGTCCAGTCGTGGCCGATTCTGGGGTTGTGGCGCTCATCTCGCTTTACTGGCTGAGGGAGCCGGCGTACAGCTTCCGGGTCATGTGGCCAGCATGACTAAGCCGCTTCTGGCGAACCAGAGCAGCGCACGGAAACACCGTTTACCTTCCCGCCGGAGGGGTACCTATTTATCTACTTGCACTGGTGTACTTTTGAACTGCTAGGTTGGCAGGAGCAGGGACCGAGCAACGGGAGCTCACCGCCGACCTTCTGATCGGCAAGTCCTAGGCTCGGTGGTTTAACCCACAGCGCCATCCGCATCCCAAAGGCAGGCTAAGGTGTGCTAAAGGAGGAGGTCGCTGGGCAAATTCTTTGCGTCTGCCTTCGCAGCAGAGAGACGCAGGGCAGATTCACAGGGAGGAACCGAGGCAAATAGTGGAGACAAAGTTGTAGCCCATTTTGTAGGCAAAATGAAAACCGACCAACTCCCAGGCATGGGTGGCATCTACCCAAAAGCTTTTAAAGAACACCAGTGTGACATTGCTGACCTTAGAATCATAGAATCGGAATAGACCACAAGTGCCATCGAGTCCAACCCCCTGCCAAGCAGGAAACACCATCAGAGCACTCCTGACATATGGTTGTCAAGCCTCTGCTTAAAGACCTCCAAAGAAGGAGACTCCACCACACTCCTTGGCAGCAAATTCCACTGTCGAACAGCTCTTACTGTCAGGAAGTTCTTCCTAATGTTTAGGTGGAATCTTCTTTCTTGTAGTCTGGATCCATTGCTCCGTGTCCGCTTCTCTGGAGCAGCAGAAAACAACCTTTCTCCCTCCTCTATATGACATCCTTTTATACATTTCCACTACTTCGTTTGAAATGTGGGTTTAAATAGTGAAAGACGTTTCAGGAACCTCCTGGAACAAAGAGCAAAATCCCACTTAGCTCTTGATTCAGGACCTCCTGCCCAACCTTCCCAAGAGAAAGATGTGTAAATGACACTCACCAAGTAGAATTTTGGTGTGTAAAGAGCAGGAAGCCACAATAGAAAAAGCCAAGAGCCGCCTGAAAGCAAAACACACCCCTATCTTCCTCCAAATTAACAGCTGACCTGGGAAGTTCAAACTCCCACTTAACCACAGTGTTCGCAGGGACCCTATTTGAATCTCTTCATCAGTGTAGCACCAACATGATACACAAACAGACCTGGGACACAGATCTGTATGATTTTTTTACATGGGATTTCTCTCACACCATGATGCACTACAGATCACACCTATATTTAGACCAGTGTTTCCCAACCTTTTTTGGGCAAAGGCACACTTGTTTCATGAAAAAAATCTCAAGGCACACCACCATTAGAAAATGTTAAAAAATTTAACTCTGTGCCTATATTGACTATATAAAAAGTACAGTGGTGCCTCGCAAGACGAAATTAATTCGTTCCGCAAGTCTCTTCGTCTTGCGAGTTTTTCGTCTTGCGATGCACGGTTTCCCATAGGAATGCACTGAAAATCAATTAATGCGTTCCTAGGGAAACCGCCTTCAGACCAGGTCCGGGGACAGTCTGTCCCCCGACCTCTTCTGAAGGCTGAGGGGGGGGGGACAAGGGCTTTTCTTCCCACTGCCAGCCTTCAGAAGGCTGTTCTGAAGGCTGGCGGTGGGAAGAAAAGCCCTTCTTCCCACCTCCCGCCCCGCAAGCTCCGGGGACAGGAGGGCTTTGCTGCCGACCGCCAGCATTTTAAAAGCCCCTGCTGTCCCGGGGCGATTTTAAAATGCTGGCGGGCGGGAGCGAAGTCTCCGCTGCCCCGAGGAGATTTTAAAATGCTGGGGGTCGGCAGCGAACGCTTCGCTCCCACCCGACAGCATTTTAAGATCGCCCAGGGCAGCGGAGAAGTCTCCGCTGTCCCGGGAAGGCAGGCGGGGGGAGCAAAGACTTTTGCCCCCGCCTGCCTTCAGAAGAGGTCCAGGACCTCGTTCCGATGCCCGGCGGCGGGGTGCGAGGTTCCCGCCCCACCGCCCGGCATCGGGGCATCGTTCCGATGCCCGGCGGCGGGGGGAGAGGTTCCCGCCCCACCGCCCGGCATCGGGGCATCGTTCCGATGCCCGGCGGCGGGGTGCGAGGTTCCCGCCCCCCCGCCCCGCTTCGGAGCACCGGGAGAAGCGATCTCCCCGCAGCCCCTTGCTTCAAAAGAGGTCCGGGGGCAGCGGGGAAGAAGCGCTGCGCTTCCCGCTGCCCCTGGACCTCTTTTGAAGCAAGGGGCTGCGGGGAGATCGCTTCTCCCCGCAAACCCTTGCTTCAAAAGAGGTCCGGGGGCAGCGCGAAGCGCTTCCCGCTGTCCCCGGACCTCTTTTGAAGCAAGGGGCGGTGGGGAGAAGCGATCTCGGGCGCCGCAGCGCGCAGGCGCACTGCTCGCTCCTCTTTCCGCGCAGGCGCCTTCTCTCGCTCTTTCGCCTCCTTTTCTTTCTCTCTCGATGGTCCGCCTACAAAGGAGCGAGGGAGGCGCCCGCCATGTTTGGATTTGCATCCAGCAGGAGATGCCGCCCCGCCTCTCCCGCCTCCCTCCCACGGCACACCAGGCAAGGTCTCACGGCACACTGGTGTGCCGCGGAACACCGGTTGGGAAACACTGATTTAGACAATGGTTTGGGGCAGATCAGTTGTCAAAATCATCAGGATACATATGTCCTGCACCTTGAAATCATGTTTTTGATATGTAATAATGCTAGCTAGCACAAGAAAAGTGTTTTTTATTGTGCTGTCCACAAATACCAGTGCCAGCTTAAAGTTTGATACTGGCTTTCGGGGGTAGCTTTTGGAGTTGGGCAAATGAGCACAAAGGGAATGCCCTCTGTTGAATGTACTCTGTTGGCACCCCCCCCCCAACATCTTTAAATAAAGTACCAATGCTTCCAGCCCCCTGTACCCACCATGGCCTGTGTGAGGGAAGCTTTTAATGTTTGATGTATTACAGTATTTTAATACTTTTTTGGAAGCCGCCCAGAGTGGCTGGGGAAGCCCAGCCAGATGGGCAGGGTATAAATAATAAATTATTATTATTATTATTATTATGAGGTGGATGGTTGGAACGGCAGCGGGGGCTGCTTCACAATTTCCAGGCTGTCCCCTAAAAAAAAATAAAAAAATAAAAAAATCTATTCATCACACTTAAAGTGCACAATGTTTATTTTATTAATCATAATACTTTGTATTCTACCTTTTAGGTTACAAGTCCTTCAAAGTGGCTTGTGGGTAACATTCAATTATATATTTTAAAAATTCAGTTAGTAATACTAACACAGAGCTGTAGCTATGGGAGGGCTAGCCAGGTTTTTTTTCTTTTCTTTTTTGCCCTGGGTGAAGCCTCCAGAGGGGCGCCATTTAGGCTCCCAGCCTCTGTGTGTGTACACAAATGTACACAGAGGGGTGCTAAACAAGGTCTTTGACCCAGGTGAAATAAAACCTAGTTTCGCCCCTGACTAACGTTAAAAAGTGGTGGCCCTGAGGAAGGCGTGGGAGTGGGGAAGTGGAAAATCTAGTTGGAAAAGGCTTAGTTTATATTTATATAATTGCTTTCTCTTTAATATCTTCAACATGGGCATTCAAGTGTGTTGGAGCATCAGGAAAGTTGTCTCCGCATAGTTGAGCCTCATTTGCCACAACCTGGCACAAAAACACACGCAGGGAACATTCAGCAGAACAAAACAGCTTCAGCAAGGAGTGCGTTGAGTCAGGAAACACAAGGTCCTCATTGAAGCAGGTCAATTACTCATTTTATTACAGATTCACAGGGGAAGGAGTTTTGTTGAAAGCTTTCCAGGTCATGTGTCCTTGTCCAGTCAAGTGTACTAATGAATTTCACTAGGTTTGCTTCCTTAGAGGTAGATTATTCTAACTAGCTATCAGCCAGTTGTAGATGGCAGGTACAATGAGGTTTTCCTCTTCTATTGTCTGAGGCTTTTTGCTTTGCTGGGTGCTTAATTATTGTGTCTTAACTACCTTTTTAGGCAGATAGCAAAAGGGCTTTCTTCTGGAGAATTGGGGCAGGGTGTGTGTGTTACTATTTTAGGTGTGAATTAGGAATAGCAAGGGTGCCCACAGTGAATTCCATTTCCCCCTCCAAATCTTTGGAACCTGGGACACTTTTTTTCTCTATGTGCAAAACATGAAGCACATAGCATGCTTGTTCTGAGCGTATTCCAGCTGAGGAATGACACGCCTTCTCCCTGAGCTAGTGAGCCCCACCTGGGCTGTAGGCCCTTGCCTGCCTAAGAAAGGAAGTAAACTTCAGCCTTTTTAATCCAGAGGTTTGTAGGCAGTAATTTCCTAATTCAGCCTGGCCAGGTGCCGTTTAATTTTGCTTTGCTGTTGGAGTTTTCTGCATTGTTCAGTTTCCCAGGACTTCTCTGGATATCTTCCAGTTAGCTGGCCTCCACTAGACTCAGCATGGGCTCCTTGATCACAGTGAAACAGATGGTTTGTTTTCTTAGTTGAGTTGCACTGTATGTAGCAGCAGCTTATCAGTATCCTACAAATAGGCTGTGTTGTACAATCAGAAAGCTTCTTGCCCTTTTCAAGGTGCCAACATAAGACAAAAAAACAGTCCTCTCAATATTGGTTGGAGTTGGTGTGACAAAGGACAAGGAAGGAAGGGGTATGTGAACTAAGATTGGATGGAGAAGCCAATATAAGCAAGGCAGTTTAATTGCTGTTACATAAGATGCTCAGGCTTAATAAGCTGCCGGTGGGGAGTCACTTTTTTAATTCCAAGAATGCCCCTCGAGGTACTTTGATGCCTCCTTTATCTCCAGCCAAAATGTGACTCTTCCATGTTCTCTTGCTTTGAGTGAGGGAGCGTTGAGAATACTGCCTTTGATAGGGATATTCATGCTAGCAGTTTCTGCTCAGAAGGACCCTACATCTAGGGTTGGGCATTTGCCCCCCAAAAATTTGGTCAACTGACCAAATATACTGTCAAAGAGTGGTCGGATGTTTTGAAAGCCTTATCAACAAATTTGATACGTAAGAACAATAAAGTAAAAATGAATTAAGTGAAATTAAGAAAAATCGAATTCATTAATTTCATTGTTTTGCAGTAGCACTCCCCCCTCCCTCTCTCGCTATTATAACCAATTTTGGTTCGATTTGTCTTAAATGTGAACCATTTGTTGCAGAGCAACTACCGTATTTTTCGCACCATAGGACGCACTTTTTCCCCTCCAAAAATGAAGGGGAAATGTGTGTGCGTCCTATGGTGCGAATGCAGGCTTTCGCTGAAGCCTGGAGAGTGAGAGGGGTCGGTGCGCACCGACCCCTCACGCTCTCCAGGCTTTGCACACCTCTCCACAAGCAGCGGGAGCCCAGCGCTGGGCTCCCGCTGCTTGCGGAGAGTTGCCTGCATGCCGAAGCCTGGACGCACTGAGATCAGCGCGCCCAGGCTTCGCGGACCTCTCCGCAAGCAGCGGGAGCGCTCCCACGGCTTGCAGAGAGCTGCCTGTTTGGGGGCTGGGGTCGGGGGAAGCTCAAGCTTCCCCCGCCCCAGCCCCACGCCTGGGGGGGGGAATAATTTTTTCCCCTTTATTTCCCCCCCAAAAAACTGGGTGCGCCCTATGGTCCGGTGCGCCCTATGGTGCGAAAAATATGGTACTTGTCTTGGCTTTTATCTTCGAAGACCACAATCAGCCTACAGTTATAGAACTGGCACCACCTGGTTCCTGTAGCAAATAAGTTGGAGTCACAAGGAATTGCAGGCAGTGACCTTTGCTGTTGACGACTGCTTCTGTTCCTACTGCAGTTATAACTCATAGGCAGCAGAAACTTTGCTCATCTGCTAGGTTTGCAGCTGACTGATGTAGGAATGGATGCAAATAACCTTGACTCCTGCCCTTTCTAGTAGTGGCACCATAATGAAATAAATAGCTGACTCTGTATACAGTGGCATTCTTAGCTTCATTGAATATTTGACCAATATGTGATCAATTGATTCTCAGTTGATATTTGACCAGTGACTTGACCAGGATGCCAAGTGTACTAGCTCTACAACTGATGATGATATTAGCATAGTATTATAATAATAGTAAAGGAGCTTCCTCCAAAGTAAACAAGTAATGAAGCCAAGATAATCCTGGCTGCTGTTTCAATGACAAAAATAATTATGTTACTGTAAGCCTTGTGCCTTTTAGTGGTGATATCTTGACATGTGCTTTCCCACCTGCTTTCCAGGTGATTCCTCCCAAGGAGTGGCAGCCACGCAGGACCTATGACGACATTGACAGTATGGTCATCCCCGCTCCCATCCAACAGGTGGTGACTGGGCAGTCGGGACTCTTCACCCAGTATAATATTCAGAAGAAACCAATGCTGGTTGGAGATTATCGTCACTTGGCCAATAGTGAGAAGTATGTACATGTTAGGACCATTATGGTGTTTGTTTTAAAACGGACCATGATTTAACAGTGGGAGAAGCACTTTCTTATTTAGTATTGATAGAGGCAGCCTGGGTATTGGCCATGTTTAGTTTCCTCTGTGATGCACCTTCCTGTCCTTTTTACAGGGTTTGAGTCTTTTTCTGTCAAGGGCCACACTCTCAGGGATAATCTCTAAGAAGCTGCATGCCTGCTATGGTCAGAGCCAGAGACAAAAGTACTCTGGATTAACTAATCTAGAATAAAGACTTTCACTCCTTCAATTTCTACCTTCAATTTCTACTATGGCTACTTTAGATTAGACTTCTCAGTCCTACTGAGGTCTACTCAAAGGAAGCCCCACTGGGGTTTGATGGGATTGCCCTCCTGCTGTTCTGGAAAGCAAGCTGAAGTAATTTCTCTCTACAAATGCGTGCAGATACAGCAGAATCTCAACAATTTGTTCTTAGCTATCTGGGGGAAAACATATGCTACCCAAGCTATACAAAAAAGGGGAAATGCTTTTTTGAAAATAATATAAAATATTGTCTCAGTTGCTCTGAAATTACATAGAAAAGAAGAGAAAGCAGTTTGAAAGCTGGAGAAAATAAGTAGGAAATGAACAGGAGGGAAGGAAGGAAGTCTAATGGGGTTTGAAGAATGAGGGCAGCTTCAGGAGGAATCGGAGAAAGGGGAGGTGCATCAAATGAAGTGATTCCCACAGGTGCATTCTGGAGAACACACGGCTAAAGCACCTTTCCCGCATGGTTCTTAATATGGGACTGGGCATAAAAGGCTGCATGGCCCTGCTATTGAGCAAAGAAGGGTAACCTAAATTTTCTCTCTGTGTGTGTTTGTGTGTTTTGTTGGCTGCAATCATCAGCTACCACAATTCTGGTGCTTTTAAGGTAACTGGCTAAGCCACATTGGGGGGCGGGGGGGGGGAAGCTCCCCAGTAGTCTAGTTGCCCTGATGTGGCTTGTCAGGTGGAATAAATCTTTACATAGAAATTGCTTTTCTGCAGGAAAGTCATGCGCAGTTTCAACCCTATGTGCCAGCTCCAGCGATTTAAAGCTCCTCCACACGTATATGTGTGTCGTGTGGCTGCAGCTGTGTAGTTTGCACGCTGTTCCCTAGATAGAAGCACATTCCTTATAAAAGTGATCAGGTGTGTGAAGTACAAGCATGTGAGATTAAGTGGGTTTGCCATGTCTAATCTTTGGCTTCCTCTTCTATTTCATTGACCAGGTACTGTACCCCCCGGCACCAAGATTTTGATGACTTGGAACGCAAATACTGGAAGAATCTGACTTTTGTGTCTCCTATTTATGGAGCAGATATCAGCGGTTCCCTTTATGATGCAGTAAGCGACCATGAGATGCGATGAGTGTGTGTCCGCTCTGCAGGCCCAGATCAGTTTGAAGCAGGCTTAATTGTAATTCTAATTAAATGGAAGTGCTGAGAACCTTTTGTGCAGGGATTTCTGGCTTCTTTCAAAAGTACTGCATTTCGTGTGATTCCTTAGGAGCTGTGACTGGCTTTAAATTTGCAAAGTTCACATGGGTGGTGACCCTTAAGCCGAACTCTGTGGATATAGCCTTACGTGCATTATACTTAGGGCAGGTTTCAGTCATGATTTGTCTCCCTCTTCCAACTTCCATTATCATCCTTCCCCCCTTCCTCTGTGAATCAGATCTCTCCGTAACATTGGTGGAGAGTAATTCATGTTGCAGAGGGGGGCTTTTGTACCTGTTTGATGGTGTGTGTGTGTGTGCGTGTGGTGTGCGTATGCCAGTTCTTTCCCTCAGACCTGCTGCCCAGTGGGCCATTGCGTGTCCCACAACCCTGCTGTTGGTAATGGCTGCAGGCACCCTGCTCTTGCCACATGCGTTTCCTTAAGACATTGCATGTGGATGTGGCAGTCAGCAGCCTCTCTGTCCTGAAGCAAAAGGAGCTCTTACTTCCCTCCTGAGAGTGGCTTCTTTCTCCTCCTATAGGATGTGGAACAGTGGAATATTGGGAATCTGAACACTCTACTAGATATGGTGGAACATCAGTGTGGGATTATCATCGAAGGCGTGAACACCCCCTACCTCTACTTTGGGATGTGGAAAACCACATTTGCTTGGCATACAGAGGACATGGATCTTTACAGCATCAACTACCTGCATTTTGGAGAGCCCAAATCGTGGTGAGTATGTTGTGGGTGGGTATTTAGCATTATAAAAGAGACCACAGAGCCATCTGGTTCCAAAGCAGGACCGCTAGCAGGGCTGGCATTCCTGGGAAGCTTCTTTGCGCTCAAATCCTACCCCTGGATGCTCTGTACCAAGGAACCACAAGCTTTGAACCAAGGAAACATTACCTGCCAAAGCTGGAAGGGCCATAGCTGAGTGGTTCAGTCTCCTGGTACATGGCAGGGCTATGTAGTCCAGTGTCCTGGTGAAACCTCACCCTTTGCACAGAGATCATCCAGAGAATGGGCGTGTCACCTGAAAGTGTCTGCAGAGTAAGGGACAGAATCCAATCACATACAGCAGTTGAGAAAGCCTCCTTGTGATGTGACTCCAAAAACCTACAGTTCTTCTTCAGCACCCAGGAAAAAATAATATCAGGCAAATATAGGAATATGCAAATCAGGCAGTTTCTGGTAATCTCCTGTTTGGCAAACTCCTGCTGCAGTGATGCAAAGCGTGAGTGTGTCATATCTTGTCATACCCTTGGCACAGTGTGCCTTTTGGGGAAAAAATCTGCAACGATCAGATCCTGTTAAGTTGAGAAATGGGCAGGCCTTTCCTATGTAGCAGCATATGGGCTGGGAGTTTTGCTACTGCTGTAGCTTTATTAGCAAATGGTATGTCCATATATGCTACTGTTGATGTGGAAAAGAGCTGTCAGGGAAGAGGCAGCCTTCTGATTCCTGGGCGCATGGTTTTTTAATTGTATTTAATGCATGACAACTTGATGGATGTCCCAAAAGTGTCCTTTCCTGAGATTAGTGATGCAACTTATAAATACTGACATTTCCAGGCAGAGTGGATCTGAAATGTCACTGGAAAGCTGTTGTCTGCCAGAGCACTGTAACAAGATTATTTTCTGCAGTATGATTTCCCATTGGCACTACTGGTCTCCGGGATGGCAGTGCCTGAGGGTGTGCAAGAGGTGCCAGGAGCATGGCTCAGACCCCAGTTAATGAGACCATTTTTGCAGTTGCCATTGCCTTCCGCATAGGAATGGGCTAATCCAACTAGGGCTTTGGTGTCATGGTGCAGTTGTTGTTTTTTTAAATACAAAACAAAACATGGCCTCAGGATTTTTCACATTTAGTCCAAAAGACATACCTCTTCCAGGGGCACCTTTTTGTTTCTGAAGCACACTTTAACTTAGAGATTGATTTATCGTACACCCTCACAGCTCATCTCTTCATCTTTGAAAGCTCCAAAAATCTTGCTTTATTTGCTTCCTGGCCTCCGCTAGGTGGCGCTAGTTCCAAAGCTAGAAGTTCTCTTGGTTCTTTAGACACAGCTGTATTTTCAGTGGTTTGATTTTAGCATGCTAATAGGGCTGGGGGCTGAGCTTCTGACAAAGCTCTATGACAGACTTCTAGCAGGAAACGAGTATATTTTTCCTACTTTAATTTTTCTCTGTTTCATTAGTTTTCAGATCTACAGAGGTAAAGGCAATCCTTAGCAAAGTTCTTCCCCCGTTGGACTAGCATAAGTGGCACTAGAACCTTGCATTAACATCTTTTTGGCATCAATTGAAGATTTTCCTCTTCTCCCAGGCATTTGATTGTTAACTTCTCTGCTACTCTTATGGTTGTTTTAGCTGGCTTGTATATGTGATGAGAGGATTGAGTTTCTGTCTGTTTCTTTTAGAATTAGTTTATGATCATTTTGAGTGTTTGCTTTTAATTATTTTGTTGGTTTTTTGTATCATACGTTGCCTTGAGCCTTTTTATAGTAGGTGCCTTTACAAATGAAATTAATAATGTTAATAGTAGCAATGTAATTCTCACGTAGTGATTTATTCAAAGTGGAGGGTGTGGTGGTTGAAATCTGTTCTGAGTTGCATCTAGACCTTCCAGTCAATTTCCTCCTCCTTGCGCCTCTCTTTTTATCCTGATGGCTCTGCCTTTCCCCAACCATTGCGAATACACAAAGGGATTTTGTAGCCCTTTGTCTTTTTCTCTACATTAATATCCTTCAGGAGTAGCAAAGGCAGAATGGTTGGCACCTTGTAAAACAGGAGCACAATATAAAAGCCTCCAGAAAGCAGAGGGACCATAACTCAATGATAGAGCACCTGCTTTGTATGCAGAAAGTCCAAGACTCACTCCCTAGTGCATCTTGTTAAAAGGATCTGGTAGCAGTTGATGGGAAAGTCTTCCCTCTCCCTGAGACTCTGGAGAGATGCTGCTGGTCAGAGTTAATGATAATGGGCTCAATTGGCAAATAGTTTGCCCTTCTGTATGGCAACTTCCTATATTTGTGTTCTGTATGCAGGACAGGGAAAATACTATTTGTTGTGAACCAAAATCCTGCCACTGGAATGGTTTGCATTTGATGGTACATGTACAACACCAATTTCAATTGGCTTAAGTCCCATTTTACTGTCGTAGCTCTCCTCCCCCTCACTAAAATAAGTAAAATAGAATAAAATAGTCTGGGAACTGTAGGTTTATGAGGGGTACTGAGACTGCTTTGAGATCATCAGCCTATTTGGTAAATTGTACTTCACTGTGTGTGAGGGACGCAGGTGGCGTTGTGGGTTAAACCACAGAGCCTAGGACTTGCTGATCAGAAGGTCGGTGGTTCGAATCCCCGCGACGGGGTGAGCTCCCGTTGCTCGGTCCCTGCTCCTGCCAACCTAGCAGTTCGAAAGCACGTCAACGTGCAAGTAGATAAATAGGTACCGCTCCGGCAGGAAGGTAAACGGCGTTTCCGTGCGCTGCTCTGGTTCGCCAGAAGCGGCTTAGTCATGCTGGCCACATGACCCGGAAGCGGCCAATAAAGCGAAAAGAGCGCCGCAACCCCAGAGTCGGTCACGACTGTACCTAATGGTCAGGGGTCCCTTTACCTTTACCTTACTTCATTGTGTTCCCTGGTTGGGCGCTGTAGCACCAGACTCTCCTTGCAGGCTTACACCAAGGTGAATTGAGCATTTGTGTTTCTATCTGTTGCAAGTTGGATGCCATGGTGTACAAAGGGGCATGAAGACATTGGGCTCTTCCTCTGTGAAAAAGACATCAAACTGATTTAGTAGTGGAATTGTATTCCAAGATCTGCCTCTGGGTATGAAGAAAGTATTCCTTGGCTTCCTTTGCATAGTCTGTGCTCTGCATCTGACCAGCCCTTTTCTTTTCTGACCCCCCCCCCCCCCGGGCAATCTGTAGAATGTGCCAATTGGATTACTTTGCATTTTTCAGCATTTGTTGCTCGTGTGAATGTTTACTGTTTCTTTATATAAATTCAGCTGAATGGATTATATTCCATGCACTGCGGTTAGAGCCTATTCCATTCAGGAATAGGCTAGGATTGATTGCCTTTGCACAGAACTGTCAGGTGGAAACAGAACAGAAGCCCACTAGCAAATGCAGCGTTAATACTTGGCTGGATTCAGTGCTACTTAGTCCAGCATTAAAGGGAGGTCTGAGAATACCCTCTGAGCCCGTGCAGTTTTGATAAGAGAAGACTAATCCTGCTTCCTGGTGGGGGTTCTGTAATCAGAAGACCACTCTAGCAGATGTTGCTTTTGTATTAAGGCCAAAAGCAGTTGGGCTTTCTGGGCAAAGATTTATTAACAGAGATTAGTTGAAACCTCTTCTGGCCAATGCAGGAGGGCTTGGGATTTCTGATTTGAAACTCTGTCCTCCTGAGATTGATTTAAAAAAAAGAAAGAAAAGCCAGCTTCACACATGCTTCCAGGGTACGTCTTTGCCAAGGACAGCCAGCTCTTCCTCTAAAGCTGTTTCAGCATAGATCTGCATTCATTAATGAGATTCCCATAAGCTGACCCCCTGCCATCGAAGCAGGGCTTGGTGATGAAGGTGACTCAGCGGGCATCAGGAGTTTGACTGAGGGATGAGGTAGGTGGACGTTTTGGCCTACGATGAATCAAGTTGCTTAGTCCCAATAGCCCCCAGACCCTGCTTAATGAAAAGTATAAAGCACAGCAAGTTGGTTCCTGCCCACGCGGGTGGAAACCACCATTACAACGTGTGTTTATAACGTTGTTTGCAGAGCTGGTTTACACATGCATACTTGACTATGCGTCATCAGGTGCCTTTATATTTCTCAATAGGATGTCAGTAAAACCCCAAACAGAATTATGATACAAAATCAAACTGATTGTTTTTCAGGAGTCATGCTTCCAGCTGCTTTTTATCAACTGTATGGTAACCTAAGTGTAGAGAAATCACACAGTGTTACATGTATGTCTGAGCCAGGGCTTGCTCAAACCACAGTTTCAGAGCCTTGTCTAGAGGGTTGCAGCTTTTTGCTTTGTTTCGCAAGTGCCTTTAGGGCTTCAAACTCTCCTACTAGGGAGCAAGCCCCATTGAAGATAGGATTGTACTGCATGCTTGTTAACATGGCATAGAAAGCAGAACAGAGCTGCTTTTAAGCTGAATGCAGCTTCTGGTTAAGGTGTTGACTTGTTCTATAGATGTTGACTTGCTCTATTTCAAAAACTGGATTAGAATCCACTATTCTGCATGGATTCCATACACCGCAGGAGACAAGACTTGCCATCTACCAGAAATTAGTGCCCTTTTATGCCTGGTTTGCACCTAAGGCTACAGTTAATTAAGGTAGAAACAAGCTGTGGTTTGTTTGATCGCCTATGGGACAACTTGTTTGGCTTAGCAGTCTGTGTGAACCAGGAGTCAATGGAAGTTCCAGCGTCATGGAATTCCTTCCCAAAAGGAAATTCATTAGATCCATGCCCTTTGAGAAGGGGAGTTGAAACTTTTTTCTTTTGTCTGACCTTTTGAGTTTTTATCCTTCACTTTTACACAATCTCTTACTTTATGCATCTTATTGCTGTATCATATGAGTGCTTCTGTTTTTGCGTTAATTCATTATGAGCCTCTTTTGGGGGACTAAGTAGTTGGGATGTAGTGGAACGAATAAATAAAAAAGGACATTGTCTCCACCTTTTAAATGTTCTGAGTTCTACATTGCCTTTCTG